AGGGATATTCAAAACACAGGTGGAATATCTGCACGCACTCATTCATATGTAGGGAAAAGAAAGGGGAGGGGAAGGATAGGGCGCGTGCGTGCGTGCGTACGGGCCTGTGTCCATTCTTACATTCCCATGCGTGTTCTAAGAAACCATCGAGCTTGTCCTTGAATAAACGTGTTATTGTTTGCATGCATGTAGCAGCAACCACCGCCACTAGAGATCGATTCCCAGCTCGGTCCATCAAATATTGAAACGACCCGGATTGGCAAAGAAAGTAATTCAAACCAGTTGCGACTCGCGAAAAGGAGGAGGAGGCGCGTCCGCCGCGGACCGAGCGTCCGACCGAAGAGAAAACGGTTGCTGAGCCGGAACAGAAAACTGAGCCAGTTTAGGTCCGGTTCCCAGCACAGAAAATGGTTCCGGTTCGTGTTCAAACTCCGGGATCACACTGACTGAATTCCTCCGAGGCCGCAATCACACCGCCCTTCTTCTCATTTTCCCCAAACTCCTTTCTCGCCGCTCGCACCTCCTCGCACCAAAAAAATACAGCACGTTTGGCCACTCATTTTGGCATTCACATTCCTGCGCATGACTGACCCGCCCACCCCGCCTGCCCACCTGTTCTCCGCGCAGCAATGCAACGGGAAGATGCAGCAGTCAAGTGCAACCGCCGGCCGCCGCCACAAGGACTCCCTGTTCAGAGGAGTCCTTAGACAAACTCCGCCAACGGACGCGACCGGAACACCTTTCGAAAGCACCGCATCCTCTTCCTCCCGCCGATAAAACGTTCAAAAACGATCGTTCTCTCCTTCGCGAGGCCGGAGGGAAAGTCCTTTCGTCTTCACTTTTTCTTTCCCTTTTCCTTCTATCCCTTTACTTTTATCACTCCTTACATGAATGGATACGTTTATACATGTTATATGATATAATGTAAGATTTTATTTATTTATTTATATATATATATATATATATATATATATATATATATATATATATATATATATATATATAAACTAGAAAAAATATAAATATAAATATATATCCACATACATATATTTTTCTTCATCCTCTCACTTTCTTACAAATCCACCTTTTCCTCTTCCTCTCTTTTCCTTCCCCTTCCACACCTCCTCTCACTCTTCTCCTCCTCCTCCTCCTCTCCCAAATCCCATCAACTAAGCAATATCTCCAACTATTCTCCTTTTCCCTCCTCTTCCTCCTCCTCTCCCCCTTCCCCTCCTATCTCGCGCACAGCCCAGCGACACAGCAATTCCTCCGGAGCAAGCGCAGAAGCAGCAGCAGCAGCAGCAGCAGCAGCGGCAGCAGCACAGCACCTGCCGCTCGGCCCCCAGGAAGCGAGCGAGCGAGCTGCGCTCCGGGCCACGCCGCCGTTGCCGCCTCCGCTGGTTCATTCATTCCGGAGAAAGTGAGCCGCAGCGACCGCGGTCCACGATGGATGACGGCCCGCCTGCCTACCTGCTGGTCTGCCGCGCGCCCTCCCGCACCCTGCCTGCCTTCGAACGCTCCCTCGAGCCCTTCGAGTCTCTTCACTTTAACCCTGTTTAGACGGGGCAATGGTTTCCACTTTGCACCTTGAATAACCACGGAGTGAATCTTTCAAATAGCCTCATCTAAATGAACTATGTTAACGATCAGTAAGTTAGTGTAAACTGCGAGGAAACACTTTGTCACCCGTTCATAAAAAAAAACAAAAAACAAAAAACACAAGAACACACCAAGTTGATAGATCCAGCGGTAACTTCGAAAGAATAAAAAAAACGGTTTGTCTTTAAGCTACTCAGTGGACCAACGAGTCAAAAAAAAACTCGTTTGACCGAGACTCGCGCTATACACCACCTCCCATCCCCCGATACACAATAAATGAATACAATCTAGCGTAGCGTCCCCTATCCCGGCACGTAGCACATGCAAGCAAACAAGACACGCACGGAAGCAAACACACCCCCGGGCAATAAATATGCGCCACACCGATCGCTAATATGACTGTGTATAAAGATCGCGGTAGTAGGACGCGAAGCAGGATGATGATGATGCAGACTGGCAGCATAAACGCCCCCCAAGTCGAGGCATGCCGCCCCCAGAGACGACCCGCCCCGACAAGAGCAACGTAGCAACGGAGATAAGGGGAGCCCGCCCGCAGCCCAGAGCATCAGCAGATAAGGCAAAGCCAGGTGTCCACAAGCCGGCGATAAGAGCCGACACGGACAAATGCAACGGTGTCACGAGGCCGCCTTCGTCCGCTCAGCTGACATTTGGAATAAAAACCGGTAACAACAATTAAAGAAACAGATAAAAAAAAAAACGGTTTGTCTTTAAGCTACTCAGTGGACCAACGAGTCAAAAAAAACTCGTTTGACCGAGACTCGCGCTATACACCACCTCCCATCCCCCGATACACAATAAATGAATACAATCTAGCGTAGCGTCCCCTATCCCGGCACGTAGCACATGCAAGCAAACAAGACACGCACGGAAGCAAACACACCCCCGGGCAATAAATATGCGCCACACCGATCGCTAATATGACTGTGTATAAAGATCGCGGTAGTAGGACGCGAAGCAGGATGATGATGATGCAGACTGGCAGCATAAACGCCCCCCAAGTCGAGGCATGCCGCCCCCAGAGACGACCCGCCCCGACAAGAGCAACGTAGCAACGGAGATAAGGGGAGCCCGCCCGCAGCCCAGAGCATCAGCAGATAAGGCAAAGCCAGGTGTCCACAAGCCGGCGATAAGAGCCGACACGGACAAATGCAACGGTGTCACGAGGCCGCCTTCGTCCGCTCAGCTGACATTTGGAATAAAAACCGGTAACAACAATTAAAGAAACAGAAAAAAAAAAAACGGTTTGTCTTTAAGCTACTCAGTGGACCAACGAGTCAAAAAAAACTCGTTTGACCGAGACTCGCGCTATACACCACCTCCCATCCCCCGATACACAATAAATGAATACAATCTAGCGTAGCGTCCCCTATCCCGGCACGTAGCACATGCAAGCAAACAAGACACGCACGGAAGCAAACACACCCCCGGGCAATAAATATGCGCCACACCGATCGCTAATATGACTGTGTATAAAGATCGTGGTAGTAGGACGCGAAGCAGGATGATGATGATGCAGACTGGCAGCATAAACGCCCCCCAAGTCGAGGCATGCCGCCCCCAGAGACGACCCGCCCCGACAAGAGCAACGTAGCAACGGAGATAAGGGGAGCCCGCCCGCAGCCCAGAGCATCAGCAGATAAGGCAAAGCCAGGTGTCCACAAGCCGGCGATAAGAGCCGACACGGACAAATGCAACGGTGTCACGAGGCCGCCTTCGTCCGCTCAGCTGACATTTGGAATAAAAACCGGTAACAACAATTAAAGAAACAGAAAAAAAAAAAACGGTTTGTCTTTAAGCTACTCAGTGGACCAACGAGTCAAAAAAAACTCGTTTGACCGAGACTCGCGCTATACACCACCTCCCATCCCCCGATACACAATAAATGAATACAATCTAGCGTAGCGTCCCCTATCCCGGCACGTAGCACATGCAAGCAAACAAGACACGCACGGAAGCAAACACACCCCCGGGCAATAAATATGCGCCACACCGATCGCTAATATGACTGTGTATAAAGATCGCGGTAGTAGGACGCGAAGCAGGATGATGATGATGATTGATGATGATGATGAGGAGGAGGAGGAGGAGGAGGAGGAGGAGAGGAGGAGGAGGAGGAGGAGAGGAGGAGGAGGAGGAGAGGAGGAGGAGGAGAGGAGGAGGAGGAGGAGAGGAGGAGGAGGAGGAGGAGGAGGAGGGGAGGGGAGGGGAGGAACAGGAGCTGATGAGGACGATGAGGAAGAGGAGCTGATGAGGACGATGAGGAAGAGGAGCTGATGAGGACGATGAGGAAGAGGAGGAGCTGAGGATGATGAGGAAGAGGAAGAGCTGTTAAGGAGAAAGAGGAAGAGCTGAGGAGGAGGAGGAGGAGGAGGAGGAGGAGGAGGAGGAGGAGGAGGAAGAGGAAGAGGAAGAGGAGGAAGAGGAGGAAGAGGAGGATAAGGATGATGATGATGATGATGATGATGATGATGATGATGATGATGATGATGATGATGATGATGATGATGATGATGATGATGATGATGATGATGATGATGAGGAGGAGGACGACGACGACAACGACGATGACGCAGAAGCAGTCGTAACAGCAGCCGTAGAAGGAAGGGGAGTGCATGCTTGAGCCCCCCCCCCCCATTTCGAGAAAGGGTGCCTCGAACGGCGGGCCGGACCCGAGGGGCTCGCCAGCCGCATTCCATCTCAACGCCCTCTTGCATCCGTCAGAGCGCTAACGCAGCGCAGCGACACGGAGCGCACGCTTGCCCGTGGTCCGGCTCGCTGCCCTGTGGCTCGAATCCTCGACGCCCTGGAGGGCCTCGGCGCCGCCCCCGCCCGCAGACATGCCGAGGCCAGCTCCTCCACCGAGGGCGCCATCCACGACGACGGAGAATAACGCGATCCCACGTCCGACGGCAAGGGAAACGTGGCAACAGCGTGCGGGGAGTCCAGTCACCTCCCGGGACGTTGCCAGCACCTACGACGTCTGTGTCCTGGCAGTGAACACGCAGAACCCGCGGACCCAGCACGCACGGCGTATATACGCCTTCGCCCCACATGCAGGTGGCGCGGTGGGCGGCCGAGTGAGCGGAGACTCACCCCTCCCCTCACGCTCTGACTCACGCCCACCTAAGGATGAGTCACTCACTGACTCACCCCCCTCACTCGTGTCCCTCTCTCGCCCTGAGGAGTCCCCGGACCCGACCCGACGCGTGGCCGCCGAGGCTTATGCGACCCGCCGACGGCAGGGCGGACGTCTTCGAGGCATCGTGGCCACGCCGTCCACTTCCACGAAAGACCCGAATAAATCTTCTGACGCCAATCGATCGAGAGCGCTGGTCATTTTCTGCGAGGCCCCGGCGGCCAGGATTTTGTATCATCTGTGA